CCCGCCACAGCGCCCGGCCATTTTTGGGTTGCAGCCATCATTGTTGTTTGGCGGGTCCGGGCTGGGGATTCGAACCCGCCAACTTAGGTGTATGTGGCTGGCGCCTTAGCCGCTTGAGCCACAGGCGCCGAGCCAGCACTGATGACTTCTAAGGCAATGATACAACCTGAGGGTATATAAAGAAGAAATTTTCTCTTGATAAATTATTCATTCCTCTTGAGATACCTGAAGTTTTTTTAAAGAAGGAAATAAATGAAAAGGATCCCCCTATGAATGGATAATCTGGTACTTAAAGGTTGGCCAGAAAGAAATCCATCTATGAGGGCCTAAGAAGCACACAAAGGGAAAACAGAAGAATTAAGAAAATATGAATACCTTACTGTCCCAGTTATAATGGTAGCCCAGGGTCACCCAACGTAGTTTCTCTAGTAAACTTCGAGGCCGTCGCTTATTCACTTCTTTATACCTGCAGAGGTTGGCAACAAAAGAGGATTTATTCATCTCAAATGGCAACAATAACTCTTTGTATAGATCCTGAGGTCTAATTTCAGTATTCCATGGAATAGGCTGAAAGCCAAGACTCAACAGGGGAAATCAGAACAGATAAATAAGTTGACCAACAATACAGTTACAGTAAAATTTCTAGTCCTTGGCTATAACTCCTTTACTAAACATGATCAACTTTCAGTTTTAAGTCTCTAGTATCTCAATAATGATAAAACAAAAATGACCACAGATTTCTGTAAATGAGAAAAGGGACCAAGAACAGTATGGGCAATCAAAAATATGGCTAACAAGCCAGGCGCGGCGGCTCACACCTGTACTCTAAGCATTCTGGGAGGCTGAGGCGGGTGGACTGCTTGAACTCAGGAGTTTGAGGTTGCTGTAAGCTATGATGCCACGGCATTCTACCCAGGGCAACAAAGACCTCTGTCTTAAAAAAGAAAAAAAAAAGGCTAACAAAATATTTTCAGTTAGGTCTGCTAAAAGTAGGGTGTGATTGCTCACAGTTATTACTATCCTCATGACAGGAGCTTTCAGAATTGCAGGTTGGGGGAAAAAACGTTTTGCAAAATATACTATACAGTACAATAAAAAATAACTGGTTTAACACTACTTCTTCAACTCTGTATAATATAGCTTAGATAACTGAGGCTTAGATAACAATTAAGGCACCACGTAATTGATTTGGTTTCTGACATACCCTTGCTCAAACCACAGGAGGTTTCTGTAAAAGAGAGAGGTGCCCTTTCTGCAATTACATCTTGTCTGATCAAATCTATGTGATTAACTACTCTTTTTCTAAAGAAGCAGCTTGTTTGGTTCACCTCTAAATATCTCAAAATACAAGAATGTTAGTCCTAATCATTTCAGATAATTTCTATGTAATTTACATCGTTAATCCATCAAAAATATTTCTGTCTAAAACCCATGGCTATTAGAAAAGTTAGATTCATTTAAGGAATTTGTATTCTGATAGGAGGTGACACATATAAAAATGGAAAGTTTAAGTGGATATGAAAGGAATATTCAAGGCAGCAAAAAGTCTTGTGCTGAACTGAACAACACAGACATTGGAGAGCTCAAAGTCAGCTGTTGAATCAGTTATGGCTTCACAGTAGAGCTGGAACTGAGCTCAGCACTGCAGAACAGCCAGCATTTAAATAGAGAATGATACAATAGGCAATGAGGACACAAAGCATGAACAAAAACAAAGGATTTATTAGAGACCCACACTGTTAGTGACACTCATCTGGATGTCTGAAAAAGAGTTTACGGAATAAATGCTATCTGTCACAGAGTTTACATTCTAAGAGGAATATCATGACACACACATACATCAAGACCAGTAGATAAAAGGAATGGACAAACATTGATTTATTTAGGACAGGTGTATAGAAAAGAGACACAGAACACTTGACTGAAGGTGTGCTTACAAAGATGGTTCCTGGCAGGCATTTAGAACGTGGATTTGGGGAGGGTTCATACCAGGACAACTGTCTGCACAAAGATTCTGATGAACACCTGCTTTTCCTCCCGGAGTATGTTATATCGGTATGTGACAGGCAGAAACTGGCTATGAGATAAGTCCCTAGCCTCCAGATGAGGAGCTTCTTTGGTGCTTTCAGATTTTGTCATAGCTCATCATCCCATCCTGTGAGATGGAAGCTTGCACCTGGCCTTCCCTGGCCTTTGCGCCATGCGCCTTTTCTCTTTGCTGATTTTGCATACTTTCACTGTAATAGGTCTTATCTGTGGGAACTCTATGCTGAGCCCTGGAGTCCCAGCAAATCATCAAACGTGAGTATGTCCCAGACACAACAGGAGACAGACAACTAATAATTCAAGATAAAAAATATGTAAGGTGCCAGGTGCGGTGGCTCATACCTGTAAACCAGGCACTTGGGAGGCCAAGACTGTAGATTGCCTGAACTCATGAGTTCAAGACCAGCCTGAGCAAGAATGAAACCTTGTCTCTAAAAAAATAGCTGGGTGTTGTGGTGGGCCCCTGTAGTCCCAGCTACTTGGGAGGCTGAGGCAAGAAGATCGCCTGACCCCAAGAGTTTGAGGTTGCTGTGAGCTAAGATGCTATAGCATTCTACCAAGAGTAACCAAGTGAGACTCTCCCTCCAATAAACAAAAAAAAAGGTAAGGTTTGGCACTAACCACAACTAGCTGACCTAAATAATGACTATGTGAATAACAATGCAATATTTAATATCCGTGTGTAAAAACTAATAACGTAATGTAGTTATTAATACAAGTTGAGTTCTATCAATGTTTATTCAGCCAAAAGTACAAATAAAAGCGCTCCCTAATGTTCTCTGTTCTATCTTAGCAGACTAACATAGAAAAATAAGTTATAGCTGGGCATTGTGGTGGGCGCCTGTAGTCCCAATTACTTGGGAGGCTGAGGCAAAGAGAATTGCCTAAGCCCATGAGTTGGAGGTTGCTGTGAGCTGTGACACCACAGCACTCTACCAAGGGTGATAAAGTGAGACTCTGTCTCTACAAAAAAAAA